CCTGGGGGTCCTGGGAACCCTCCTCGTGGACCCTGGGGGTTGAGCAGGTCAAGCAGGCCACGGAGCCCAGCCCACAGCGCCTCCCACTCTGCAGTGCAGGCCCAGGCACATCCCTCCTTAGATGCTCCTCAGCTGCGAGGGTTTCTCCAGCTGCCCACGTGCTGCAGCCCGGACACCAGCACCAGGGCAGGGGCCGCACACCGAGGGTCTCCACGCACGTCTGAGCACGTGGCTGACGAGGCAGAGGCCCCTTGTCCGGGAAGCCTGCTGAGCATCATCACCCGTGTCTCCTCAAACACCCTTCTGCTCGGGAAGGATCTCGAGGCAAGTGTGGAAAATCACTGGGTGGCACTAAAAGTCACCTCCCTGGCATGTCCCCAGCTGAACTCCTTTTATTTTTCTTTTTTCCCGGGAGATCAAGGCTATTGTGTCAACATTCGGCCCTGACCCAAGTGACCTTAGCCGATTGCTTATGCAGCCCAGTGGTGGCCGGTGGGGCCAGCAGGAGGGACCCACGCATCTGAACAGGGGCTTCCTTGAGTCATGGGCCCTGCCAGGGGCCCCACAGGCTGACATGCCTATTTCTGGGAGAAAAGACACACTCGAGAGAGCTGAAACCAGCCCCTGGCTCCTGCCCCTCCTCCCTCCACTGCTGGCACGATGGGCCTCGCACGGACAGGCCTAGACCCGGAGCGGCCAGCCCAGCTGACCACCCAGGCAGCAGGCAAGGTTTTGCTGTTAATCAAGCCAACATTTGTTGAGTGTCACCCCCCTGCCATACACACACGCCCCATGACAAACAGGAACTGTGGGTCCAGTTTCACAGATGAGGAAACCGGACCAGAGCTCCTGCCTGGCTCCAGAGTGGGCCCGCTTCCCTGCAGCCCCCTGCATCCTCCTTGGAAAGGTCAATTGGGTGGACAAAGAAGCAGAAGGTGCTCTGGACTCAGAGGCTGGAGGTGCAGGGTCCAGCCCACCCTGCCTCTGCAGCAACCATGGGCTCTGGGCAGGTCATGGAGCCTGCCTGGGCTCCAGGGGCCTTCTCCCAGTGAAGGGTGGACGAGGGCGAAGATGGCGCCTCAACTAGCAGTGGCTGAAAGATGTCTGAGGGCACGGTCCTGAGACCTCCTCCGAGTTTAGCCAGAACCACGCCATGACTGACCAGCAGTGTCTGCCGAGTGCATGGCGCTACCACCCCTTGGCACTCCCAGGCACTGATCATCCAGGCCTTAAAGGCGATCTGGCTTTGTTCAAGCCCCCCTGACAGCTTCCTTACCAGAAGCAACTGCTCTACAGCATGTTTGACCTTTATTTCATCACACCTGGAATTCCAGGGTCGCCTCGCCTGCCCCTCACTGGATCTCCCTGCCTGCTTGTGCCATAAAGGGTGACCCTGCTCTGGCCTCCTCTGCTTGCTGTCGGCTTGGTTCCCAGAGGGCGGGAAGGGCCAAGGGCGTGAGGCATCAGGACACAGGGACTGGCCAGGTGGCTGGCTGCCGGCAGTGTGGACAGGACAAGGCTGCAAAGGGTAAGCCAGGACGGAGCCCAGGGGCCTCACGAAGGAACAGCATGGCTGGCCTGCAGCGGCCAGGGCTGCCAAGCAAGCAGGCCATGCAGCCGGTGGGGTGAAGGGTCACGCCAGCCCCAGGACATGGGGTGGACACAGAGGCTGCCAGATGGAGGCGCGTCCAGGGGCGGCCCTGCCAGCAAAGAGCCATGGCTATTGGCCAGCATCTGTGGCGACCTCTGGTGTCTTCCTGCGGCAACCCCTTGCCCGTCAGCACACTGGGTCCACTGCCCGCTGCTTTGCTGGACACGTCTCAGGTTCTGCCACAGGTTTCTTGCCTGTCCATGCTGCCCTGGCCAGCTTTCTCGGGCCCCTCTAACATCTGCTCACACAACAGCTGCCTGTTCTGGGGGCTGTTCCTCAAGGTTCAGGGCTCAGTGTGTGGGCAGCTGCAATCAATCAAACCTCTGTTTCAGCACCCCGACCTCTCCTCATGAGAGCCCGCTTCTGGTGGGAGCATTGTCAAGAAATAAAATTTGTTGCTCTTTCAAGCCGACCAGTTTGGAGTTAAAACAGTGGCACCAGGCACAGCACCAGCGGGCGAGCCATCGGATGGCTGCTGTTTCTGAAACCTTTGCTCACACACATCTGATCTGTGTCTAAATAGCCACGCAGAGCACAGGCTCGCTGGGAGTCAACGGTGCCTGGTGGTCACACCAGGCCTCAAAAACACAGTAACGAGTAGTAAGCAGAGGCCCTGCCAGTGGACAGCCCACAGGCTCAGGTCAGCGGCTGCGATGTGCGTGGTCGCGGTGTGGAGAGGGCACTGCTGCAAGAAAATGCCAGGCAGACGGGCCCCAGGCGAGGGAGCCAGGCCGTCGTGGTCAGATCTGGGCAGGAACAGACAAGGCCACCCTCTGCGTGGCCCCCCAGCAGCCTGTTCTGCGGAACCAAGTGGCCACAAAGATGCTGACAGGGAGGGGCCTTTCTAGGGCAGGGCACAGGGCCTAGAGGCACAGGCCTCCCGGCTCTCACTCAGGACCCCCTGGCCAAATCCCTGAAGCCTCACTTGGGGTTCCCATCCATGAGCAGGGCACCCGCTGCACCCTAGCAGCACGGCCACCATGGTCGGCAGGCAGGTGACTGGGCCTGGAGATGCAGCTGGGAAGGGCAGGGCATCTGGGGGGGGGGGGGTTGGCAGACCGCTGGGTGTGTCCATCCTGGTTCCCTGGGCAACAGGCATGAGATGACGAAGCTCCCGGCCACCCCCTCGCCAGAGCACCAATGCCTCCCCAGCGACACGCGTGTGGAAACCAAGACGAAAAGGCCAGGGGCAGGCGTCCACACCCTCTCAGCCTGAGGAACCACGGCAGAAAGGGTGCCATGCCTCAGCACCCCACCTTCGAGGTGTGGAACCCTCTCACTCCTGGACATCGCAGACACAGCCGAGCTGCTGCGCAGGACAAGGGCCATGGACAGTGACCCCACGGCCCTGGCTACCAGGGACACGCCAGGCCCCTGGATCCTCAGGCGCGGGGTCCCGGGCTGGGTTAGGGGCTTTTCTCAAGCGCACGTGGGCTGCCTTGGGCCTGGCTGTCAAGGTCCAGCTACTGAGGCCATAAATCATGGGGCGGGCAGTGTTGAGGGGCGAGCCAGAGTAGGCTCAGAGGGGGCTGGGCAGGTGGCCCAGGGCCCACCCCGGGGGCTCGAGGCCCCTTGGCAAAGTGCCTCCCGGGGCCCCATCTCTGCTCTCCCCAACTCTGCCCCCATCCCGGCCTGGCCAGGGAAAGGCAGGCAGATTCAGGGCGGCTCCTCGGGCTCTTGGAGGCCTGCCTGGAGCCGATGAAGCAATCCATACATCTGGGCACCCCCCCGCCCAGCAATATATTTTTAAATGGTTTCTACCCAAGTGAGAACGGGAAACGTCTCCAGTGATGCCAGCGATGTTATTCCAACTTGCGGCTAGTAAAATATAATAACACGTGTAAGTTGTTTTTATTACCTATCTAGCTTATTAGCTAATAAAATAAGCTCAGCATTAAAATTTTAACTGAAGTCATTTATCGCATCCAGAATTCAGGGATTGGGGTTCCTTCAGAAGTCACCCAAATCTGTCTCCTGTCCAGCCTTATTACCTATTTAGATTTCTCCGGAGAAGGAAAATTCCACGTGCGTGTCCAATGTAAATGAAGTGTTCGGTGTCTGGCTGGTGAGGCTCAGGAGGAAGCCAGGGGCTGCTGGAGCAGCTGGGGGCGGGGGTGAGGGGTGGGTGGGGGTGAGGGGTGGGCGGGTGGGGGCTGCGTGGATGTGAGGGTGCGGGGGCACAGTTGTGCTCCCCCGCTGCGCCGCCAGGGCACAGCTCTTGAGCGGAGGTGGACAGACAGCCTCTGTTCTGGGCCCGGGTGTGTGCTCTAAACTGAGCTACCCACACCTCTTCTTTTGTCGCAGTGTGGGGGGGGGTGTGGGGAGGGGAACCCTAGACTGGGAAGGAGAGCTAATGGAGAGAGAAAGAAGCTCTAAAAACAGAAATCACTGTCACTCTAAAATGCAAGGCAGCCCAGCTGGACCAGCCACACTGGGCAACGAGGGAAAGCGGGAGAAGACGTGGGGCCAGGAGCAGAGTGGACAGGAGCCTGCCTGCCTGGCATGCTCATGAGCTGTGTGATCAAGGCCGACCCCTCACCACCAAATGGTGCCCATCCCTGGAAACCCAGCAACACCGAAGCTGACTCAAGATGCACGGAGCTCCTGAGGGCTCTTGTACACAGGGACCAAGGTGCTGTTCTCCCCCCATGCCCCCGCCCTCGGGTGCATGGGTCACAAGAGCCCCCTGACTCCCTGGGCCTCCCCAGGAAGGGCCGCACACAGGCCGGGCTCAGCTCGACAGTGTACTAATTCCACGCTCACCCCATTGGAATCAGTCCCTGGGGTCAGCATTAGCACAAGGCAGGGCTCTAAGACAAGGAGGCCAAAGTGCGAGCGGCAGGGGCCCGTGGTCAATGGCACACAGCGAGGACAATCAGAGGCAGGCAGTCCGGAGGCCGAGAGCGCATCTTGGTGGCTTTGCATTTCCACAGCTTACTCAGAGCAAAGGGGCGTCCTCCCTCTCTCGCCCCGGAAACCACTACCCACGGCCCCGAGCTTGGGGCTGGCATCACCCCAGTGACAGTAAACACTGGGCCGCGCGAACAGCTCTCGTGCAGGCCCCAGCGATGAGGCTGGGCCAGAGGCTGCTGGCGAGGTGCTGGGGTCCCAGAGGTCAGGGCCACCCGCCCTCACCACCTGCCTGCTCTGGACCAGCAGCACCAGCTTCCGCAGAAAGCGCATTTCTGATTTCCAATGCAGAGGGTACTTTCTTACAACTTTGAAATAATCCCTCTGAATAGGATTTTTAAAACCAGGGAATCAACCCCGTCTGGGCCTTTCTGAAACCGCCCGGGACAGGCGAGACCAGCAGGGGCTGGCAGGAGCAGCCGTACGCCGCGGCCCTTACCTGAGCCATCTTGGCCAGGTCCAGCGAGGGCCTCTGCTCCTGCACCTCTTCCGGGCGCCGCCGTTTAACGCCCACCTTCTTGTCGTTGAGGACGCACGGCTGGGAGCGGCTGCGGGAGAGCCCGCTGGAGCGCCGCGCCAGCTCTGGCGTGGAGGCAGGGGTGCTGCTGGCCGAAGGTGGACAGTACTCCGCAAAGGAAAACTGCTCGTGCGAGCAAGACAGGGACCGCTGCATGTCAAGCCGGCCCCCGCCCATGGGGGCCGGGTCGGGGCTCCAGATGTCGCCCGTCTGTCCACAGGCGGCAGAGCTGGGCGCCCCATGGCAGGACTGGCCTCCAAATCGGTGGTGAAACCCTGCCTGGTCGTCGGGCGAGGAGAGCGCGTTGGCCCGGGAGGGGAGGCTGAAGCTGGAGCTTCTCTGCATGGTGCTGAAGCCGTTGGAGTAGCGCTGGACACTGCCCCCGCTGTAGCAGCGCCTCTTTTCCACAGGAGTCCAGACTTTGGACCCCAGGGGTCTCCATAATGTCCGGCAGCTGGACATCTCATCAGAGAAGGACAGCGAGCGGCACTGGCGCTTGCTGGGGGGCGCTGAGGGGTTCCCGTTGTGGTCGCTGAGGCTGAGGTCCTTGATTAGGCTGGTCACCGCGCAGGCAGTGGCGGCCTCCCGGGGCCACAGGGCGCCGTCCTGGCACTTCTCGGGCAGGCACTCCCAGATGCTGGCGCTCGTCTGGTCGATCTGAAGGGGGCACTTCCTGTCCAGGTCTCGCCATCTGTCATTTTCTGGTTCATAAATGACAAAGAGAAAACAGGATTTGAAAAGAGCTTCAGGCCAGCCCTCAAGCTCCTCACCCAGAGTCCATTTTAAACAGGATGAAGGGCCAGAAAGGCCCTTCAAATGCATCCAGTCCAACCTCACTTTACGATGAGACTGAGGCCCAGAGCGGGTGGCAGTGCTGGGAGTGGTGCCGGCAGCAGGTGAAGCCCAGCCACCCAGTGGTCCCGGGACCCCTGGGCATGCCTTCCCACACACCATACTGCCTCCCAGGAAAACCCACAGCAGTTTTCTTCACCGAAATGCCTCCTCATTTTAGAGGCAGTAGCAGGCGGCCCATGGCGCTGCCCCCATCTCAGTGCACTCCTGCACCTGGCCAGGACTGACCGAGTCCTGGCAGAAGACCACCACCAAGGAGGAGCCTGCTGCTCCCTCAGATGGTCAAGAGCGAGGGGTCTGGGGTGCTGCCAGGTTAACTCATCTGAATTCCACCTGGAAAAACCTTGCTGGTAACAGGGGCTGTGCTGGGAATCTCAGACGAGCCCAGATAAATCTGACATAGATCTTGATTCTGGTTGACAACATAAAAACAAAGTTAAGAAATATATTGTCTTCCAGGGATCAACAGGTTGGCAGATTTCTGTGTTTTCTAATCTTCTATTTATGAGCGTGACTACAGAGAAAGCTGTGGTTTGGGTCAGTTAGAAGGACAGACGTTATTCTCTAGACTTTTAACAACACCCATGCTCACAGCACCGTGACTGCAGCCCACATGGCGCCTGGTGGGGAGGGCGCCCAGGCAGGGAGACGGCGGAGGGTGACTGGCTCAGGACCACAGAGCTGACCAACGACAGGTACAAACCTGGGCTGGCCCGACCAAAGCCTGGGCCCTTCTCACCGCACTGCAGGGCAGAGGGACTGATGCTCGCTGCCTTCAGGAGTCCGAGTCAGCCGCAAGCCTCATGTGCAGGAACCTGGGGCTCTAGGCACCCAGGGTAGCACCCACCCCCAGGCCACGAGCCTGACCGTGCTGGCTGGCACAAGTGCAGCTACTGGCAGGTTCAAAGGGACTGGCCGCAGAGGCCCAAGGGAGCTTCTTGAGCCCAAGGCTAAGCCAAGCCAGGGCCACTGTGGGGCCCCTTCTTCACAGAACAGAGCCCCGGGTGGGAGCCTGGGTCAGGGACACGGAGCACGAGCCTGGCTGCTCCCATGGGGACTCAGAAGCTGGAGCCCAAAGAGGACCTTCCTGTGCAGGGAAGGAAGGTGCGCTGGGGACAGCCGGGAACCCTCTTCCTGGGTCCTGGCGCACAGCCGGGCCCACGAACAGTCCTTTCATTAAATTTAATAAATTATTACCAAGAATTACCCTTTTTACAAGTGGCATTTATAGTGTTCAAAATACATCTTCACCACCCATGGAAATCACTCCCCCGAGTGTTCACCGTTCTTCTAGAACAGCTTCGATTTGACAGTTGTCAGCAGTTGCAAGCTCAGTAAATGAATAATGAAATGAAAATGAAATATAAACTACCAGCGGCTGAGTCCCCACGCCTCTGTCATCTGACTTAGAGGAAGGTCACCCTCAGAGGGAGTGGAGACTGACGTGTGGCCACGCGCTTCAAACGACGTGAGTGATAGCGAAATGGTAAACAGAACTAAATACTATATAAATGATCCAGGAATAACGTGGAGCGTGGAAAAAAGCAAAGCTTCAAAGAATATCCGTGGTGTGGGGAATGTTAATGATGTAATTAATGTCGTGAATAAACAGGAGCCAAAACGACAGACACGCAACCCCTATTAGTACTGTGGGTGCATCACGCTGAGGATAAAAAAGGAGACAAACGGAACTATTCCAGATCCACAGGCAGAGAGCGGGTTAATTTATATTTTCTCCGTTTTGTTTTTCTAGTTTCTACATTGTCTATAAGGACAAATGTATTTCCCCACACGTGGGGGCCATGACTGCCAGGGCAGGGTCAGGGCCAGGGCCTTGAGCCCCAGCTTCCTCGGTGTTTGCTCGTTAGGTCTTTCAGGAAATGCCCATCAGACAAGGCTGGCCAGCATCTGTCTTTTGGGAGAAGGCACCAAGGCATAAGATGGCGAGAACCCGGCCTCGGAGCAGAGGGCCCCAATATGGCGCCACGGTGGCACCACTCCAGGAGCCAGAAACAGTTACAGTATCTCCCCAGGATTGGGAAGCCGTGAAATTGAAAGAGAGTGATGTCACCCTCAGAAGACACCGCTTTCCGTTCCATTTTTATTTCACTGCCCTGGAATTTTCCCCATCTCCAGGGACGTCATGAGAAAAAAGGGGAATTGGGAATGGGTGAAGCACGAACATTTGGCTTCTGGGCTGACAGCCCACCCCTCTCCCGAGGCCACCTCATGATCTCAGTGCTCCTGAGTGGACCCTCTGGCCTCTCTGCTCCTCCCGCACCCTCACTCACGCCTCCAGAGAAAGCTCCCTGAGGCCCATGCCTGTCGAGGGCCGTCCCCTCTGGCAGTTACCTCCGGCCTCCCAGGAAGAATACAGACGCCTGGGCCTGGCCTCCAGGCACCACCTACTCACACCTCCCCAGCGACCCTACACTCAGGCCCACCCAGCGCCCAAAGACACCAGAAGTCAGACAAGAATTGGGTTGAGTCAAAATCATTCTTGAAAGTCCCTGGAACTGGTCACAAAGCACACTTCCCCTGGCTCTGTGCACCGAGCATGGAGAGTGACTCACGTGCCGGCAAGTCCTTCTGAAATAAAGTCGAGTGAGTGGATGGAGGCAGGAGCCTGGGCAACACCTATGCTCAGGGGGTGGGCATCTGACCTGTGTCAGGCTGCCTGTCAAATCCCCATTGAGATGGGGGCTGGATGACAAATCCCAACGTCTCCCTGCTTGCCTCCGTTAACTCTTTGTCTGAAGTGTCCGTCTCCATGACCTAGCATAGAGGATTTCTTTGCTGTAGACAGGATTAAAAGAGTAGGTGCGCAACTTGGTCCACTGATTAAATGCAAGTCCATAAAGACTACGTTGAATCTCCCGCTTCCCCCAAAACCTTAGCTCTTCTACTCTTTACCGCCTTTGCAAAGGCCTGGAATCTCGTCCTGCCTTAACCCTTCTCCACCATGTAACAACCAACTCCATAGCCCCACTGCACACACGGCCGGGCACTCACAGTCCTTTGCCTCAACTGATAACCATAAGGCGCCCATGTTGCCTGAACCTGGATTTATCAGCCCACAAGTCCACTTCCACTCAGCCACTAGCAGGGCCCAGCCTGGCTCCCCAGCGCCCAGCACACAGCCTGGCACACAGCAGGCCTCAGCCAGTGGCAGGATTGGGAGGAGATGGCTGAGTGCAAATAAAAGCTGCAAAAGCCAAGGCCTCAACTCCCGCCCTGGGCCCTCGAGGCGTGCAGAGCAGCTGGGAGTCTGGCCGGCGCAGTCCTGTCCAAGAAGATCCTTGGAAACCCAATCCTGGGGTCCGGCGCTGCGCCTGTGCGTCAACACCGGCCAGGTGGCGGCCCGTCTTGTCTGCAGGGCAGATAATGTTTTAATTGTTTCTATCTTTATCGCTTCCAGAAGTACAATATAAGAAAAGTAAAAACAATCAAGGCTATGTTTAGCTCTTGTGTTTTCCCTCTTCACTCAGGGAACAGAAAGCGATTTGTTGGGTCAGGTCACCAGACAAAAGAAACAGGAATAGAAGCTAATTTTTAATGGCAAACAGCCCCAAGCGTCAGGCCTGCGTTTGGCTGTACAAAGGCCTCGTGGGGTCTGAGGAGAGGATACCAGACGCCCTGCCCCCCAATATCACTTCTGCACAAACAACCACAAGTCTTTCAAAAGTGACAATGGCCAGAGACGTAGGGAGTCCACTGAGTAGGGGTCACTTGGAGTGGCGGGAAGGGTGTGGACCCGGGTTCAAACTTCCACTCCCTACCCCTCATCTGTGTCAGAAGGTGATGGACCGCAGCCACCTCCAGGGTCACCATGAGAACCAGCAGTGGTCCCCACGGTCCTGTGTGGGGTGGTACCACTCCGATGGCAGTCCTGGAGACTCGGGGTGCAGCTGGGTGCCCACCTCTGTGGGGGCTAGCAGGAGCGGGATCCATGGGGTTACACTGGGACCTTCTCAAAGTAGGGTTTCAGGACCACCCATAGGACCAACCTCTAGGCTGTTAAAATGCAGACCCCCAGGCCCAGTGCCTGAATTAGTAAGCAGAATCTCTCAAGGAAAAAAAATCTGCATTTTCACTCATTGATTACCCCAGTGACTGCAATGTGCCGGCGTCGAGAACCACTGCTCCGGGGGCAGGCCACACCAGGGCCTGGGTCTGGCAGGCCTGTCAGAATCCCGTTCATCAGACTCCACCATTTGGATTCCGAGCATCACTGAAAGCTGTTCTGGTGTCTGCTTTGTTCAGGGCTGATAACAGAAAGTGGAGCTCTGGAAAAGGACAGCTCTGCCCTGCAAGCACCCAGGGCCTCTCACCACAGCACTTCCTCCCTGGGCTGCACATTCTTAACAGGAGCCTGGACACAACGACCCAAAAAGAGGAAGGGACTGAAGCACCCTGCCCTGCTCCCCAGACACACTGAGGCCTGGGCCGGCTCAGGGCAGGGCAGGTGCTGGTGTCCAGACCCCTGGCCACTGGCAGACACGGGCACTATTTGGGGACCAATACCTCCCCTTAGGTTCTCTGCCGTCCCCACAGTCTCCAGGAGCACCCGAATCTCCCCATCTGCCTGCAGAGCATCCCTCCACAGATTTGAGAGAGTGTGCAGCATAAACGCTCCGGGCCTGGCCCACAGAGGAGGGCAGAGCACACGGGAACACCAACCATCCAGTTCTTCCCATGTGGGCCCGCCAGGCGGCCTCCATGGTGTCCTTCAAAGTTGAGGCCCAGACTGTGCTGGAAGCAACTGGAGAGGCTACCACTGCCTGGAAGTGCAGGAGCAGCTGACATCCCCACATGGGAGGGGATGAGAACCCAGATCCCCACTCAGGTT